CCGTACTTAAATACGGCTAGCCACTTCGCTACTAAAACTAAAACTGAACTAAAAAACCTGGCCTTGACTACGTAGCCGCAAAGTCAAATTTATTGTCAACACATCAAATACTTTAAGTTCAAGGTTGTCTTGATACGGCACACCTCTTATTACTAAACTGCAAGTAGCTGTCTTGCATCATTGTTGTCCTTGGACCTAAGAATAACCCTACTTATAACCTTCTGGTTATTAAATGTTATTATCTTATCGTCGACCGATTTCTAGAATAGTTGCGACGTCGTGACGTGACTTGTGTTATTTGTAAAGCCGAGCTCTGTGAGACTTATTTATAATATTTGAGACTGGCCACTCTAACGTAATTCCAGTTCACTCTCCATGACGTGCACCATTTAAACCCAATTTGGAACCAAACTAAGGGAAAGGTTTTGAGCGCACTCGACCATAGCTCGAGAGACGTGTGTTTTGCATTTCATTTTGCTCGTCCAAGATGTGCATCAGAGCTCGAATTTTTTTCTTTTTTTTCTTTTTTCTTCCTTTCTTTTTGTTTTGTTTTCATTTTTCTTTTTTTATATAAGAGGAAAGAGCGGCGGCCATGACAGTGATCGATCTAATAATTCTGATAGATATAATATTATTATCTTTTATTTGTCGAAGTCAGTGAAACTGCGAAACTTTTTTGTGAAACAAAAATACAATAATAGTCTTGAACATTGCTTAGAACTGCTAAAACTACCACAAGGGTAGTCTCCCGACCGGATTTTACATCCATCCTCACCCTTGACCTTTGATTTGCACGACAAGAGCCATAGACATGTACTTTTAAATTGCAGACTGCCATGGCCGCTACAATTTGATTACTATGAAACTTCGTTGCAAAGCGTGCCTACCTTTGAGCCTCTATAATTTATAGCGCATAAATGTAGGGAAATTTACCGGACTCTCTACAGTCCAGTCTACTTGTCACCTTTATTCCCTATTGCTCTTCCAATTTGACTCATATTGAGTCAATCGGTGCACTCCAAAATGAACTGGGATTATACTAAAATATACATTCTAGGTAATACAAGTCTATGCCACAATCATTTAGTTGTATGTTGCGTCGCCCCGAGCGAGACTCGCCGAGCTGATAAGCCAGACACCAACAACTAGATATCTAGATCTAGATCTGGGAATAAAAGCCAAAGGTCCAAAGGCACAGGACAATAGATATCCTTCCTTACTTTGAGACTTTTAGAAAGTTATTCTGTTGTTGAATCAACGAAGGCGGTACGCACACGGTATGCACAAAATTGTCTGTGATTTTGCACTGGATTTCGACTTCGACAGTAACCTTGTGATGACTGAACAGGGAGTGGTGTGTTGCATTACATTGAATTGCGTAAAATTCAAAACGCTATTTAGCTATTAAATTATAAAGGAGGTTTCCAAAATAATGCAGAGTAAATCATAGATCTAGATTAGATCTAGGCCTAGATCTAGATAAGCGTGGGAAAAACGAAGTGTATACAGACCCGGTAACCGGGAACAAAGTCACAAAGTATACAGACCCGGTAGGGGAACTCTTTTGTGATTTCGGGAAGTTTCAGCCCCCAGACCCGGTAGAAATCTAGTGTGTGTGTGTGTGTGTGAGAGAGAGAGAGGGAGAGAGGGGGGGGGGGGGGTTGCTAGCAAAATGTGTATATGACATGGCCACCTCTATTCTCACCCGGAGTGAGAATAGTGCAGGCGAGTCTTGTGGCTATTCTCACCCGGTGCGCGTTCACCAAATTTTGCGTTCACCCTAAACTACAGAATTCTACACTGTGATAACAGAAAAATTGTAGAATTCTGTGCCGTGAACAAACGTTCCATTACAATTGTAGCCTACTAAAAGCGTACAATTTTGTCTGTGGGCAGTGGAGAGAGAGAGAAAGAGAGAGAGGAGTAGCGCGAGAATTTCTGGGCAAAACAAACTGGCGACCCGCGTAGTTCGGCTCGATTCGAAAAGTTAAATAGCCGTAGCATCTTTGTAGACAACCAAATTTATTTACTTTTGTGTTTTAACATAATTTTTAAACTTTGTTTTGGTCAATTTCATCGTCAACACCGATAGACAGTATTCAGAAAGAGACAGAGAGAGAGAGAAGAGGGGAGGAGTTGATCTTGCGAGAACTTCCGGGTGGGTGAGAATAGCCACTTTCATATGACATGCCCCAGTTGGCAGGAGGGAACGAGAGAAAGATAGAGTGGGAAATAGGTGGGGACAAAGAAAGACAGAAACAAACAAAGAAAAAGAGAAGGCGAGCGATACACAGAGGAGAAAGAAAGAGAGAGAGAGAGAGAGGACTGCTCGATTGAAATTATGACATTGTAACTTGTTCTTTTCTTCAAATTGTGATTCCTCCATCCAACTCCAGAACGGAGGAAAAACGATCGTTCATCGAAAAGACATCCGCAATCTTCATTTAGATCTAGGCTAGCTGCGAAACTAGATCAAACATTTAAGTCTGTCTGTCTAGATCTAGATCTAGACCATAGATCTAGAACCTAGGTCTACCCTGAGCCAAGAGGGCGCTGAAACTCTCCGAAATCACAAAAGAGTTCCTTTACCGGGTCTGTATACTTTGTGACTTTGTTCCTGGTTACCGGGTCTGTATACACTCCCTGGGAACAGTGGCGGTGGGTAGTGAAGGGCTCACGGGCTTGAGCCCCTACCCCCTCCCCAACCACCACCCCCAACTCTATCCCAAAGTAAATGAAAGTTTCTCCACAATGAAATAAATAAGCAGTTGAAACCGTTATGACCGTACGCAATGAACACAGAGCGATCAACCTGGCGGCTTGCTCGTTTATCCAATCACTGTTGTCCCCGCTTACAACTATAGTAACCCAGCAGCCAATCAAATGTCTTTAGGGCTCAGCAAAGATGAGCCCTTTTCCCACAGTCCGTCCTTAATGAAACTCTTCTTGTAAAAAGGTAAAAGACTGGGAAAAAATAACACTATACCGAGGGCTCACGCTCTCCTAGCCCTGACAATGGGGTGAAAGTTTACGACACACTTTCCCCTACTGACACAGATACCTATGCGCTCATTGGTTCTTTGTTGGGTGCGTTCAACTTTCTCGACTACACGGCCTAATCCAGCTCATAGAAGTATTATGTTTGAAGTGCTGTGTGTGCAAGTTTGTGTTTGTGCTGCTGAGATTTAACAGTTATAACTTTTTCATCACACGAAAACTAATTAGAGGAAATTTGGAGGTGAATCGGTTTCGTCCCCACCATCAACAAGAATTTAACTAAGAACAAAGAGATTGAAAACAAAGGCAACTCTTCTCGTTTGAATGGTTCTCAAACTGCCGTGGCTCACAGTGAGTATAGAAAAATCATCACTGTTTAATTTTTATTGCTTGCTATTTGGTGGTAAAAACTGGAAGAAACCTAAGCCCCACCCAGATCTATTACCTGAATTTTAGAACCAGGTAATCTAGCTGAAAATGAATGAGACCGATCAAAATACAATAACTATAACCGTAGGCTATTTGTATAATTTGTAGAGATGTAGATCTAGAATCTAGATCTCTAGCATCTGCGTTTATCGCAGCTGCCGTGTTTGGAATTTTTTGGTCAGCGAATTGCATTTGCATTTTTCCGACACTCCCCCCCCCCCCCGCAACCCCAAAAAAACCCAACCAAAAACCCCGAAGTGACTAGATATATTTCTCCGAACGTTATCGAGATTTTTTGGTTATTTGCGAGATTTAGGCGTCATCTTTCATTCTGCCATTCTGCGAGGACTGGTAAGAGAAGAAGCATTTTTTGCATCAAATTCAGTTTCTAGAGCTAGAGATTTTTAAATTTCTGAATACTTAGATACTTCAGTTATGGTTGGGGCAAGGTTCCCAGATTCTGAATACTTAGATACTTCAGTTATGGTTGGGGCAAGGTTCCCAGACTATATACTTCATTTGAAAATACTTTCAAAAGGTACTGAGAGAAAACAAGACCTTGGCAGTACGGAGTGTCTGCGTACACGGTAACCGAGCATGTAGCCTCAATATCTACGAACACAGTAACCGGCAACCGGACGGGTAGTCTCAGTGTCACGTACACGGTAACCGGGCAGTTTAGAACTCCAGGTTCAGTTTTTGTCATCCGGTGTTGCCTTCATCCCCACTGCTGCTCCCCCGATTGTACCTTTAAAAAAATCAATAATCCCCCCATTCCGGAGCTCTATACTTCGCAACGCAGAAACTTTGAATGAATTTTGGTGACCCCAACCGTTACTCACAATGTGATGCGCACGCACAGGTTCACTGACCAGTCACGATGGCGAGCCCGACAAGACGCTTGTATGACTTTCTTTTTTTCAGCAAGTGACAGCACAAGACTAATATTGATTTATTTTCCTTCCGGTTACTGTGTACATAGATACTGAGACTAGGTGCCCAGTTACCGTGTACGTAGATACTGAGACTAGGTGAGACTAAGTGCCCGGTTACTGTGTACGTAGATACTGAGACTAGGTGAGACTAAGTGCCTGGTTACCGTGTACGTAGATACTGAGACTAGGTGCCCGGTTACCGTATACGAAAAGACACTCCATTGGCAGTAACCTATTTTGCATAGTCATCCAGCAAAAAATAAAGTAATAAAATCCTTTATGTAAAGAAAAAAAAATCTCTCCCTTATCAGTTTTTTGATAAACCCCCTGGGATTTGACTCCTTTTTTTATGACGTAATTTTTTATGATCAATATTGGGTAGCTCTAGATCTAGATCTAGATAACAATTGTTTTTTTGACATTTTTTGCACAAAAGTAGATCTAGATCTATTCTTGTTCATCTCTCACACAGCGGTTATAGAGCGCCCATTTAGTTTCGGCTGGCGCGAGGCAAGCAAGCCCGCGCTTCCCCAGGTCACGGGGTCATTTACCTGCGCCGCCGGGGATTTCCCTAATCAGCCGAACACCGGCAGCGCTCTTGTATTTTTTGCAAAGTTTACCAGCACAGTGAGCCAAAGCTAATGTAAGATGAATATTTTAATAAAGACCACGTAAATATTCAACATATTAAGGAAGAAAATGAAGAAATCGGAAGAACATGGTACATTACACTTAAAAGCTGTGAAGTTCTCAAAAAGGGGACTTAATTTGATAAATGTGTCATGGGTAATCAATTATAAACATCGATTTAAATATGATTGCCCCCAACGAATTCAATCAAATTTGCACACAGGACTGTGAACATAATGAAATTTGTACTGACAAAGGGGCATATGCACGAAGTTTCTGGATCCGTAATTATTCAGGTTTGAAGTTGATTTTTGCAATACTCTTGCTTTGCGACCTTGTTTTTTCATAGCGATATCCACGATACATGTAACTACAGGACAGATCTTTTCTTGCCGATACACTTATGAAAACACAACCTAAACACAAAATACAAAAAGAACACAATATTGCTGGACTGGAGGAATTATCTCATTTTTCCGCTGTAAGCTTTCGTCTTTTGATGGGTGGTGCACATGACAGAGTAGCTCAGGGTGGGTTTGGACGTGTTGTGACTGCATGATTGTTTTGACGTGTTTTTCTTTGTCTGTTAGGCCACGGTTGCATGAATGAGCTCACCCCCTTGCTCACAATGGAAGGCCATTCCAAACCCACATTTTTGTATCCAAGGAACGCAGTGTTTCTCAAGGATGTGTTGTTTGGGGATGACCTTTTCTTTTGATCGATTTTGATTGAGTAGCACGTGTTTTACGGCACTATCGACTCAAGACCTTTTATTTGCCAAATATGTTTCTGTATAAAGACATATATCGTGTGATGCATGACTGAATATGTGGTATTCTCTCTAAAGTGATTGGCTTTCCATGTGCAATTACTGTGTGGATATCTTTGAAGGTGTCTTTTACGTGAACAAATTTCTCTCTCAGAACAATTAATGCGGTGTCTATTATGCTTTGATTTCGTGTACATGCAACTGTTCCTTTTGCTAAAAATGATGCTAGCTGTCTGTACACATGGGCTGTGATGTATTTATGGCAGTGGCTTCATATAAATGAACGGCTGTGGTAGGCCTGTGGTGTGATGTTGTGTTGTTTGAGGATGTTATCAAATTCAGAGCAGGCAGGACTTGACCTTGGAATAAGCTCCTCAAACTCTAACTCTGACAGCTGATCATGTACACTAGAACCCTTCCTCTCAAATCTTTCTGCTTCTCGTGGATTATCCGACAAAATCTGACAGCCCTGTAACAATTGAATGTCCTCCTCGTTTTTTTCCAGCCCTCTTTCATTTTTTTGCCGTAGATATGCACATTTTGCCCTATTCCAGGCGTGCAATTCTCCATAGATTGATGGACCAGCTGTACATCTATATCATGTGCCAGCTGTACATCTATATCATGGACCAGCTGTGCATCTATATCATGTGCAGCCTCCTCAAGAAGGTGATGATGTTTGAGCACAATGCCCACCATGTGACCATGTTGAGTGTGGCACTCCATGACAAATATATTGTTTAAAATGACAACGAAATTCAGATGTAGTAGAGGCAAGAAAACTAAAAACAGCAAGGATGAATGTTCAGAGTGGTGGGTTGGTATTTTTAAAAAATCACAGAAAATCATAGAATAACTTCGTGCATTTGAAACTTGCACATGTAAATGAAAATTGTCACCACAGTTGATACATGAATTTCTGTTTAAATCGTTGGGGGCCGGATTGAAATATCTAAATCCAAACTGAAAAAGTTCTAAACATTGAAGATGCCAGTTTGAAAATCACAGACTTACTTAAATCCCTTGTAAAACTGATATAATCGGACTTACAAGAAAACAAGTTATACCGGCCTACAGGTCAAACATAGCACGTTACAATGAAATCTCAATCGGCCTTGTAGCATTTATAGTTTCACTAGAGTTAGGAGGCTTTCAATTCGCACTAAAACGCCATATTTACTACTGCCCCGGCACAGGAGGAGTGGCGCTGCGGTCACCCCAATTAACCCCTCTGACAAGTGATTTATGACTACGCGCTGGGCTGTCGGGCGGGGCGGGCAGGGTGGTGAGGATGGTCGGGGAGGAACCGGGGAAGGAAAACTAAGTGAGCGGTCTGGACGGTATTTTATCCGCTGTGCTCATTATAATCATTATAATCATTTGAACTTTAACCAGGCCTAAATTGGTAAAAGGAACATTTGGATCATAACATGCGATACTGAAATTTTAAAATTTTAATTTTTACAAAATCTCGAATAAAGGACAAGATGCGTTCACAAACAATACAAAACCCACGTATCTTATACAGAATTATTCAGAATTGCATTTGCAATAAAACTGCATGTGTCTTGAGTGGTACTTTTTGTGTAATTTTACTGACATTTAGTGATCTTGGGGAAAACAAATATTTTGACAATTTTTATCTAGCACTGAAAAATATTGATTTCTCAATTACAGAGCAATGGCAATTTGAGTCCATTTTACTAATATAGTATCAATATCTCATTTCTTTAGTAAACAAAATAATGATACATTTTGTTTTGCAAAAGTACTATGACTGGTATCTGGGGTATAATTTGGGCATCATGATTAAACAAAGTCGCAGAAACTTTGAAATTGTGTTTCAAAACTGAATCAAAAGTTAGGACATTTGGTGGAAACGCTTGACCTGGAAGTCAATGTTATTATATTATAACCTTTATTTTAACATGGTTCTATGTGGATTGGAATAAAATTTAAGCTAGAATTATAGGTCGGTTCTCGAGCCGTCGAGGGCGGCTTGCCGTAGTGAAGTCACTTTCGCCACACTGCTGCCTGCGGCTCCGTGTAGCAAATGAGTTAAATATATTATAACTGTTAAGTTCAACGTTGTTTGTTGGTCTTTGTTGGTTTCCTTTGCATTCAACAGTGATATCACTTTGAAGGTCTTTCACATATGGAAGTGGATATTTATACAGCAGGCCGTCGAAAAATCGGACGGGATAATTCCACAGCACATAAATTCAGCCAATCAGAACATCCGGACTATTTATAATTAAGCCTATATTCTCTTTTCCATAAGTAACGCATTATTATAGATACAATTTAAGATACCTGTATGTTTAGAACAATGTTTATCCTTTGCTATCATTTTGTGCATTATGGACAGTGATGAAATGTTTTGTGTGATTGTAACGAGAGTGAGAGATGCACAATTTATTTTGTGCAAGCAAAATAGAGAGAAGACTTTTTTTTTCCAACAGTAGGGTGCCCATTTGTGGATGGGATCGGGTTGGGTCGGGTAGGTATGATCACCCGACTCGTCGCCTGGAAAACAAACACAATTCTTGCATTGATACACTTCAAGCAGAGCCTATGCCGTCGAAATATCAATTCGATCTTTAGACTCAAGACGGCATACCGTATAGGTATCACTTCCGATGTTCAGACAGCATGCCGTGGAAATATCAACTAGGATTTTCAGACGGCATGCAGTCGAAATATCGCTACCCTTCACACATATATACAGTCAAAATTTTCCAAGAAGACCATCCAATGTGGAGGAGAAGAGTGGACGTCTTAGACAGTGTCATTAATCATTACCTTAGAATGCCAGGAGAAAATGGCAAGTACAGTCAAACCTGTGTAAGACGGCCACCCATTGTCAAGGAGAAAAGTGGCCGTATAAGACAGGTGGCCGTCTTAGGCAGGACTGATCAAGATGAAGAAAACAAACCATTCCCATCTGAGGTCCCAACCGAAAGTGGCCGCATTGTTGTTTTTGTTGTTGATGTTGTTGGTTTGTATTTTGTTTGTACTTTTTCTTGTTGTTGCTGATTTTGCGCAAGGGTGATAGTAAAACGAACTGAATTAGATGAGGAAGACCGCGTGCCATGTTAAAACAAACACATGGGTCGCCACCACTCGGAGAACGAGCGATACTTCTTTCGCAAGTTCATGTTGACGTCCATTGTTACTTTGTTACAGACTGGGTAAACATTGACCACTCATCTCACTTACGATTTGTGTATGAGTTCTGGGCTGGGCTAATGGGTTATGAGGGATCACACTCTTACCTCACCAGCAGCTGAAAATTGGTACCTATTGGTCAACAGTAGGAGGGGCCTACGTAACATGATCGGTTGGAGGGACTACCTAACAACACCGACAGGTGATTAAATTATGCCGGCTCGCCCACAACGCCAGGCACAATTTATGACAAAACGTAATGGAGTCACCAAGGAGGCCGTCTAAGACAGGTGTTATTGCTTAGTGTGATAGGGGTTGTGTGTTAAAATATGGTGGCCGCGGCTGCGTTGGACAGATGCCTGTTTTACACAGTTAAATTATATAGAAAAAACGCAAGGGGGGAAATGGAAAGTGGCCGTTTGTACAGGTGGCCATCTTATAGAGGTGGCCGTCAGGGCAGGTTTGACTGTAGTTGTTTGTACAGTAGATCGACGTGGTCGTTACAGCTGATTTGACTGTGTAGGCCTACCGAGTTGCGTTGGATTTGAAAGGTCTATAGATAATCAAAACATCAGAACATCAGGAAGAGACAAGTAATTTAATTAAGATTTTTGGCCACATGAAATTTAAAACAGATGGACTTTTGAAATTGCGTCTCCTGCCATCCAACACTCAAACATCACCACTTCTGTTTTTATGTTGTTGGCAAGTTGTTCAAATGTTCTAAGCCCAGAAAACAAAATTTTTCAGGAAAGAAAAAACAGTTTCACCGATCTTATAAGATTATAATATAATAATATATTGTATCTTTTCTTGCTTTTATCAGTGTGCATTTAAAATTTGAGTTTCAACAAAATATTTCTTGAGCTCATGCAATTGGTACCAAAGTCAGCAATAATAAATTTTTTTAAAAATTGGGGGTTTAAGACGTCTGAGCACCTGACTGACGATATGATTGTTTCTGTCTGTTTATTAAAATGCTAACTGATCTTTTTATTTTCTCATTTCATCTGCAGGCTTTTGGCATTCCATTTTCTTATTATAAAAGCAAGTGCGAGCTCAGACTTTGACAATGGAGAAGATGTTGAGAAATATTCTCAAGTATAATGGAGCAGGAAAAGCGAAATTCCTGGCTGATATGGACAATCTAGCCTCAAATATCATAAAGGTATGGTGACAAGGGGAACATTTATAATAATTTATTATTGCTCTATGCCATTTAGAACCATTGTTACCCCAGCAGACTTCAGAACACTCAGAAACATTCACAGCTTCCTTGGAAGCATACAGTGGAAGCTGCACATTGCACCCCTCAAACATTAACAGACTGACAAGATCTTTTGCTGTCTATGGCCACATACCCATCTCTACCAGGGTCAGAAAAAGACATTTCATTTAAAGAGCCCTTCCCAAGGACATGTCTGGCCCCTGACAGGAGTTGAACCCACGACCTTATGGTTGCGAGTCTTGAGAGTCTAACAGCTAGGCGACTGATGCTACTTAAAGGCTTGAAGGTGAAGTTCCTGTACAGTATAGACAACTGGAGTGTCGTTGTGGTGAAATCAGGCACTCGTCAGAATAATGTGTTATAAGAAATCATCATTTTTTTCACCCAATGGGCAATATTTATGCTCAGCACCTTGAATATCCATTTAGAAACACATTTTAAAGTGGATTTTTATTGAAATACATGGGACATCATGATCATCAATGTCAACTCCAAACCTGATACTTGACCTGAAGAATAAAGAAGACCTAGGTAATGTTATATCTTTTCTTGCTTTATTTTAACATTTAGAATTTGAGTAAGGACAAAATATTTCTCGAGCACATGCAACCGGTACAATTGATTAAGAACATGTGCAATAATAATGAAGTGAAAACAATATGGGCTAGGTATATCAACAGACGGTCGACAATGCATGTTCTACACACATATATTGTGAGACTCTTTCAAGAGAGAGAAAAAAACTGTTTTAATCTTTTAAAGAATGCACCTATATTATAATGTACCTTTTCTTGCTATAACAGCATTTAAAATTTGATTTGCTTAATGTTTTCGTTCACAGCCCACGACCGTTTTCTTCTCCTGCATCGACTCTCGAGTGCTGGCAGCAAACTTCACCCGCCCGGACAGTGGAGAAACCTTCTTCGTGCAAAATGCCGGGAACATGGTACCCCACTTCCAGTCCATCGTCAGCGGCCAGATGAGCACAGAGGGGGCGGCTTTGGAGCTCGGGTGTCTCAGTAAAGGAATTCGCAGTGTCGTTGTGTGTGGCCATTCTGATTGCAAGGTATGTCAGTTAGTCATTTTTGCTTTTAGATTTAGATTATTATTGACATTTAGGTTGTATCGACTGTTTAGTGTAAGACTTCATCAAATACCGCTTTACAAAATAGTGTAGTATAAGATTCCATCATATGCAACTTTTCAAAATGATGTATGACAGAGCTTTTACATGAAGCAGTCAATATATAGAAGTTTTAGGTCAGAACTGAATGTACTGTTTATGTGTTACTATTGTATTTAAGAGCTCTCAGAGGCTGTGTTTTTTTATTGGGGATTGAGTGCGATATATATTGTTGCCGTCCTGCACCAACCCTGTAAGCGACAACATTTTCAAAATCCACTTTTTTTGCTTGTATGATTCTGTATAACATTCAGTATGTCCCAGTCAAACAATATTTGACACAGGTAAAAAATAAGCACATTAAAACACAAATGAAAAAAAACCCTATCTCCAACTGCGTGAAAGCCGTCAGGCAAAAAACCTGTAGACACCAGCGAGGCACATAATTGCTTTGTGCCCGGTGGCCCAGCGCGATCAGGCGTCGCGCCGTGTCGCTTGTTGGGTAATATAAGTGGGCCTAACAATAGTGTCATGCCCGACGGTCCATCTTACGCAACGGTTTCGCAACTGTGCTGCTTGCGTTGAGTCCCTTTTTTTGCATAGTGGGTCGAGAACAAAGAAGGTACTTTTCACTGGAAAGCCCAGAACATTGCCCAAGATGAAGGAACAGATTAAGTACCAGTAAGGTGTTTCACACTTCAAGCAGAAGATCAACAAACAGTCAAATTAAAATGCCATACCCCATTAAACATCGGAAGGTCAATGTCCTTGTATGGAAAAAGCCTTCCTTCACTTTTTCCTAAGTACCAATAATGTTTTTCACACTTCCAGCTGAACTGCAGCCTCTTTCCCTAACTGCAACAAAGTAAATATTGATAAAATGCAAAGAGCAGCAAATCAAACATGCCATACCGCATTAAATCTATATTCATATTTGGACATGGAAAACAGCTTTAATGCCCGCGTACACTAATCACAGGTTAACACTTAAACGTGTTAGAATTCCAAATCTGAAAAATGTGCTCATCCTCAAGACAAGAATTCTTCCCCCAAAATATTGCCACTTAATGAAGTATCAGAAAGTTCCATCGAAGACAAAGTGGACAATGTTTTCTTGAACAATACCTCAGAATAAGATATTTCTGTGTCATGCTTTGACACGTAGGATTTTTCACTGGATACTTGTTCAACACCACGCAGAAATTCGTCGGCGACCACATTTGACCAACCTGAACCAACTTCAATCACTCTTGGAGAGCTTCAGGGGCGGGCTTCTTGTCCTGCCCTTTCAGTCCCAACGAGTTCTCTGGATGTTACGTTGCAGTCTGACGTTACTGTAGTTTCAGTTGATCTTATTGTTGTCACAGCTGATGTGACTCCAGCTCCAGTTGTTGCCAGTATCAACACAACTGACATCCCCTCAGCAACATCTACCGACACAATCGACGTTCCCTCAGCAACATCTACCGACACAATAGACGTTCCCTCAGCAACATCTACCGACACAGTCAACGTTCCCTCAGCAACATCTACCGACACAATAGACATTCCCTCAGCAACATCTACCGACACAATAGACGTTCCCTCAGCAACATCTACCGACACAGTCGACGTTCCCTCAGCAACATTTACCGACACAGTCGACGTTCCTTCAGGAACATCTACCGACACAGTCGACGTTCCCTCAGCAACATCTACTGACACAGTCGACGTTCTTTCAGCAACATCTACTGACACAGTCGACGCCCTTCTAGCATCAGATGCTGGCCCTATGGACTCAGTCAACGACCTCCCGGTATCAGTTGCTAGCACAGGCAGCGGGGTGCTAACAACAATCTCCTGCCTACCCGTGCCACCTGCAGAAGCTGTCCCCGCAGATGAAGAATTCTCTACCCTGACTCAAAAACCAGAGAAATAAGGTTTTGAAAATTGGCAGAGAAACAAACGGAAATTTCTCAGGGAGTCGGGGCAAAGCTATGTCTCTGCCAAGGGCGCCCAAAGACCAGTACGTCAACTTCTGGAACTTTGCAACCACACCTGCAAAGGGATGGAGTGCAATTCTCTTTCAGGCGAAGACAGAGCAAAGATCTTTGGCTGTGTGTGGTCACTATCATGGGAGAGTAAAAAAGCGTACTTCAAAGGTCTAGTTGACAAGGTTGATGTGAAGAGGAAGCGGGCAACTTCGGAAGTATCAAAAAGATCCTGCTCATATCAATATTTCTTGAAGAAAGGTGGAGTAAGAGTTCATTAGAATGATTAGAAATTCCACTGATTCCGTGCAGTCAGATTCAGAAAGCCCTGCCAAATGCAGTGTTAAATCTCTTGTTCGAAGTGATGAAAAAGTGTTCCTGGTGAATGAATTCTTTGGATTATTACCGAAACTCCCATCTCACTATTGTCATAAAACCTCTGCAAAGCTTTATCTGGAGCCTCACTTTTGTTCTCTGGCCGATTTACACCGGGAGTACTTGAAAAAGTGTGAAGAACTGGGCTGCAAGGGCTTGGGACTAACGGTGTTCAAAGAGGAGTTTCACAAAAATTATTTGGAGTTACATCATCCCCGATAGGACTTATGTGTGTCCCACAGCGTTGGAAACATGGACAAAGAGACATGGAAACAGCACATGAGACTGAAGGAAAGAGCCTTTGCTGAGAAGGAGATGAACAAGAAATTGTCTCTTGAAGGTTCAGCTACCATCTGTATGGACTTGGAATCTGTGCTTCTTGCTCCCTCTCTTCAAGCATCTGCCGTCCACTATAAAACAAAACTCACAGTACACAACTTCACAGTCTACGATCTAGTCTCCAAGGACGTGCTGTGTTACATGTGGCATGAGGGAGAAGATGGGCTCACTTCAAATGAATTTGCATCGTGTGTGGTAGATTACCTAAATGCTAAAACTGAAGTGGACAAGATAATCATTTTTAGTGATGGATGCATATATCAAAACAAAAACGTTGTACTTGCCAACACTATTAGTGACTTTTGCGCTCGCACAGGTAAGACAGTGGAGCATAAATATTTTGTCAAGGGACACATGCACATGGAAGTGGATTCCTGCCACAGTCTTATTGAGAGAGCAGCAAAAGGTGTTCTGGTGTACCTGCCGGCGGACTACATTGGCATCATGGGTAGAGCCAGGCGCAACCCCAGACCCTTTGAGGTCAAGTACCTTGATCACACATTTTTTAAGGATTGTTCCAAACTCGGACCATACAAAAGTGTGAGGCCAGGTCGTGGGAAAGGTGACCCACATGTGGTGGACATTCGTTGTCTTAGGTATACGCCTGATCGGAACATATCCTTTAAGTTGACATTTGATGAGGACTGGAAGGATATTCCTTGGGGAAGAGGGCATGGAGAGGTAGCCGCTGAAAAACCAGAACCTCTTTACACAGAGACCTTGAAGATCACAGACGTGAAATTGAAACACCTCCAGGAACTAAAAGCCGTTATCCCTAAAGACCACCGTGCATTCTACGATCATCTTCGGCACTAAATATATTATGGATAATATGTGAATTTTAAATATTCATTTCATCTGCAGCTGAGAGGAACAGAGGGTGAGAGAGAGGAAGAGAGAGTGAATGAAATGATAAAAGATGATACAGAGAGAGAGAGAGAGGGGGGAGAGAGACAGAGAGAGAGAGAGAGACAGAGAGAGATGGAGAGAGAGACGGAGAGACAGAGAGAGATGGAGAGACAGACAGCGAGAGAGAGAGAGAGAGAGAGAGAGAGAGAGAGAGA